GTCCCCATCTGGCCCTGGCCCCCTCTTTCAGGATCCACAGATAGGATGGCGGGAGCCACGGTGATTCTCTCTCTGTGGGTGCAGGCAGGATGAATAGATACCAAGGGCTTAGGATGAGTAAGTATGTGGGGAGGGTAGACAGGAGAGGGGGGAGCCCTCCCTTCCTGTCTCCTCCCCTCCCCTCCCCTCCAGGACCCCAGGAGCAGCTAACTCTGCCCTTCTGTCGCAGCCAAGCCCCTCAAGTGCCCAGGCTTCAGCCACACAGCAGTAGCACGTAGTGTCACCTGAGGTCTTGGTCCCACTTCTGCTCCTTTGCTTATGGGTTTCCCTCTGCCAGGAGTACCCTTCCCTCATCTTTACCCTCCAAACAGCACGTCTCAGCTCCAGTATCTCGTCTGCCTTACACCTTTGTCAGATTCCATTTTCCCCACCCCGCTCCACCCGGTAAAGTGATCCCCTCCCCCCACGATGCCCCAGCTGGGGAAGGGGAAGCCAAGCAGTTGGAACAGCAGATGCGAGGCACCAGGGAATGAGTGTGAAGCTCCAAGACTGAAGATGGAGAGTAGGGGCTGAGGGAAGGGTAAGAGAGGTGGGAGAGGGGACCCAATAGGAAACAGTTTCTGGGACTGGGGTACAAAGACGGGACTTCTGGGTGGGGAGTGGCAGGCTGCACAGCACGCTGCAGGGCTGCGGGGTGCCGGCACACCCCGTATACACACCGGTCTCATGCCGGTGCCCCTTATTGTGGTTCTGGTTTTTTCCAGATCATCCTCTTTCCCCCTCGCTCTGTCCCTGAAGATTGGACAGAGATGCCAGCATTGACGGGTCTCGGGGAGGAGGTGGCCACTCACCCAGCAACAGCAGCAGCATTGCCGGCGCCAAGCAGAGGCCCATGCCGGGCAGCAAACAAAGGAGGACTAGTGAAAGCAGAATCCCAGCGGGATAAGGGTCCCCTTCCCAGTAGCGCCTGAGCCGATGGGGGGGAACCCGAGTGTTGGTGCCAACACGAACACGCCCATGGGGAGGAGCCCTTGTAGCGGGAATGACGCCCCACCCCGCTGAGTCCCCACCCCAGGCTCTGCCTTCAGGTAGGTCTGGAGCCACGGAATCCGGCACCTGCAAGTGCCTAGGTGGAAAACACACAC